GAATAAATTACATTTTGCTATATATTAAAATAGAAAGCATTTATTTAAAATTGTAAAAACATATAAGAATATTGCTGTTTTTAGTGAATGTTTGAACAAATAAAAATAATATAGAATTGTGCTCATAATAGACTTCTACCAAAAATACTACAAAATCTTACCGACCTCAAACTTTTGAATGGTGGTGCAAAGCCTGTTTCCACCTCAGAGTAGAAAATAAAAAAGTAAATGTGAACGTGTAAAATAAGATTGTCTTGACTGTGAGGGAAAAAAGTCACAATTAAGAGTTATAAAGCTGCAGCTGTGAGATAAAGATGCAAACATGAGAATTAGTCACAAATGAGAGATATAATGTCACAATTGCTTTTTTTTTTTTTTTACACTGAGACAGAAATTGGCTTCCATAAAAAAAATGCACACCTTAATTCTATCTTTTGGTTTAATACTTAAAATAAAACTGAAAATTTTGTTTTCACCTTTTCACCATACGGTTGTGATTCATTTATCTGTCAGAAAATGTTTTAAAGGGGTCATATGATGCTTTTTTAAAGATCATTATTTTGTGTATTTGGTGTAACAGAAACATCAACAAAAACTAAAAAAACTAAAAACAAAAGTGGCTGGATAAGCGCGTGTCGTTGGCTTTTTGACGCGATCGAATTCGATCCCGCCTTTTGCCAAATTTTTTTTTCTCCCTTTTCAAATCTCGTATCACATCGTAAAGGCATTCCCTGGTAAGTCTATGTTCACACTTGGCGTCTTTTTTGACAAGAAAAAGTTGACAAGGGTGTTTTTTTAGTGAAAAAAAAAAAAAAGCTGGCAGCGTTTCTGTTACAAATAGCAGCCAAAGCCGTCTTTTGTTGCTATAGCAACAGCTGCAACAGTAGCCTAGCTCTGCATGGTGCAAAAATGTTGGGAAAGAGGAAACTGGCTCTTGCGTTGGCTTTTGAAGTTAACGGGGAAGAGAATGTCGGTTTACAATGACGTTTGTGGGTGCACGACATTATACCATGAAGGAACCAGTATGGTGCTTACAACAATTTAGTCCAGGAGCTCCGGTTGCATGATGCACGGTTTGCGGCATATTTTAGAATAAACATTAAAACATTATTATTATACTAAATATTTTGTGCTCATAGTTTATCTATCTACTTTTTCTTGTTATTGTTGTTATGGAAACGACAGGTCTCGCTACTCAATCGCTTGTCATTGGTCAGCTGTCAAAAAGGCGCTTGACATAGGGCGTTTTTTTCCAGAAAAGTTCAACTTTTTTCAACTTGAAAAGACGCTCTGAGCTGCAGAAAAAGACGCCGGCGGTGGCGTTTAAAAAAAGCGCTCAGGACTTTTTTGAAAACACTGTTTACTCCATAGGATTATAATGTAAAACAGACGCTGGCAGCTTCAAAAAAGATGCCAAGTGTGAACATAGCCTAACGCTGTACACAAAGCAGCACTGCGCTTACAAACGCTGCTTTATCAGGTATCACAGGCATGATGAAATTAAAATGAGACAAATCGGACCAATCACCACAGATTAGCCTCACGCAAAGGAGGGGTTTGGAAAAATGAATCGTTGAGCGAATCGTTTGGGAGTCATTGAGCAAGTAAGGTAAAAATAAATGCATATTATAAGACAATGAAAGTGTTTTTTGACCTTGCATGCATGTCAGCCTGTTGTTGGGGACTCCCAAAACCAAAATATTAACCTTTCATTGCCCATAATAGGGGCACTTTAAACAAAATCTGAGTTGTACCTTGATTATAATTATTGGAGTTAATTATTGGAGTTTATTGAGTAAAGAATGATGTTTTACCAACAACTTTGAGATTAAATAGATATCAGTTTAAATTGAATGGCATTAACACATTAGACATCAGAAGTATAAAAAACAGTGACAGTATTTAAGACTATGGCTTCGATTTCTTAGAGAGGAAACATTACTGAGCATATTTTCAGTAAGTGTAATCACTCTAGCTCATTGTGACAAAGATTTTTTTTGTTTGATTACTGTGTACTAGGGAGGTAAGGCTCTTGGTAAAAACATAAAACTAGCTGATTTATGTTCATTCCACTTCTTAGATGGATTATTGTTAAGAACTACATAATAATGTTAAAATATTCCTGTTTTTTTTTTTTTTGATATACTGTATCGGTTGTATCAGGCAGGGCCTTGCAGCTGAGATCTAGAAATATTCCCCGCACTGATGGGAAAGAAAATTACGGTTCCCCATCTAACAAAATTTGCTCTTCCTTTAAAAGCTCATGAATATTTTAGAGATTTTGCTGACACAGGACGTTTATCTTCAGAGAGCGAATGTCATCAAAGTTTTTTTCATTTTCCGAAGAAGAAATGAGTGCCTAGCAAAATAGCACACCTCTCCTATCATTCGTGTCTTTAGGCAAAGTGTTGTGTTTGCATATTGACTTGAAGTTGCATAAATTAGTCACTTGTAAAGTGATTGGTTTTAGGGGTTTGTTCAAATCTCTAACCCAAAGTACAAGCAATAGTTATAGTGATACTTAATGCTGCTCTGCATTTATCATTCTCTGTCATCACACTGTGAAAACATGGTATAAAGTCTTTCACATACTGCAATCAAATAATTTCAAATACTTGTATCACTTTTTCTCTTTTTTAGCCACAAGGAGGCAGCAAAATCTGAAAGTGTACTAAATCTTACTGTACTGAAAATATTTCTGTATCTGTGCAGCTTTCACATACTAACTTAATCATTATTATTTTATAGTAATTTACACAACTCAGTCAATATGCAAAAACACATGAATTTTTAAAGTTTGTGTTTGGGCATCAAGAAAAAGGGTTACCTTAACTTAGGGTTAAAAGTGTGAAAGGTTTGTTGGTTTAAGTGAAATTAGCCATCACAAAACAACAACAGTGGGCCTAGAACAGAATCAGCTTCCTAAAATAAATCAGGGTCAGCATCTTTATATAAAATATTTTCACAAGACACACAAGTAACCTCTCATGACTTATGTATGATATAAAACTTAAATAAATAAGCACCTTCGCTCTAAAAACAAGACTGTTCCTTATCGGCAAAACCACTGCATCAGGTTTATCCAAGGAAAACACTCCATTTCCATGTGTTTAATTTAGCTCTTGTCAGTTATTTCATAAGCCAGCTGTTGTGTTACAGCATGAGAAGAGCATTCTGCCTTTGAGCTCATCTCTCAGTGACAGGATGAGAGAAATCAGTGACAACAAAACAAGTGATTAGGGATAAGAAAATAAGCAATTTGTGTGTTTGGAAACAGTCCAAGTCATGAATTCATCAGTCCAACACTGCATTCATTTCAGACCGTCTGAAGTGTGCTGGTTTAATTTTGCTGCAAGGCACTGAATGGCAATGAGTGTTATATGTCTGGCAGGAAGCAGTCATCCAATCTGACAGGTAACAATTTCTGATTTTTAAACAAGCATGTATGTACATTTGTGCAAACTTTAAATTGAGCAAAATGATATTACTTAGAAATGGTTATATGCAGGTAAGCATGAAAGCCAATACTGGGCCCAAATGAACTTAATTCAACTAGCTATTAATCTACTTGCAGTTTATTCATTCACATCAAGTCCTATTAAACACCAGGAACTATTCATTGTTCATTTTGAGTTGGACATTACAAAAAGCAGTAACCCACAGTTCAGTAAGTGAGGCATAGCCTCAGTAGCGCCTCACTGCAGAACACAAGATCCAGGGGGCATGGTTGGATCCACATCTAGTGGGTGGAGATGGGTGGCTTTAGGGATCAGGGGGTGGAGACGGGTAGGTTTAGGTATATGTAAGGTGGGAGGAGATGGATCTTGATCCAACCACGCCCCATTGATCTTGTGTCCTGCAGTGAGGATGTTTTTTTACACTCCAAAAAAAAAAAAAACCTGACTCGTTAGATTAATTATTTTGGTAGGCTAATTCGCTGATGAGAACCGAATCATAGGAGTCTGGGAATCAGAAATTTCATTGTAAGTTTTTGATTCACTAAAAAGAACCGTATTATAAGATTTAGCATTTCTGAATCACACTAGGCCACACCAGTCACACTGTATTTTTTTCATTCACTAAAAGAACCAATTTTAACAAGATTCATTCGGTAGGAAATCAGACAACAACGATCGCGCTTTTTTTGAATCACCACAAATGGGCCACTTCATAACAGTTGTCGTTTGGGAATTCGTTTTGGGAATTGGACTACACTGGTTGCACTTGCATCGAAAGCACTTTGCTTTGATTCGCTAAAAAGAACCGGCTTATAAATCGCACTACACAAGTGGGGCTGCATGCTTTGGAGTCACTAAAAAAAGAACCTACTCATAGGAGCCATGCGTTCAGGAATCGGACTGCACATGGGTCACGCTTCAGTCGTTTACCGCGTTTTCTGTCCACATCAGCGGAACAATGAACGTTCGAGAACCGAATCAACAGAACCGAATCATGAAAATAATTCAGTTTTTAATTTTGTAAAGGAAATTTAACGTTTTCTCGGATACCGACCTTACTAGTCAATGAATTCAGTATAAACTGAAGTTTGAGTATTTTAATTTGATAATATTAAATAAAACTAGATAAACAATGAATAAAAAAAGGGCTACTCAAAATAGATTCAAATAAATAAAATGCGTAGGCCTATACACATTAAAATAATAAATAAGACTAATAAAATTGATAACATGACTGAATAAATAAAAAATAATAATGAATAAATAAACAAATAGTCCTATACTATGTAGAAAAAAATTATATATTTAGTGTAATGTAGGCCTAACTAATGTAAATAACAGAAACTAAATATTTTCCAAATAATATTTAAACATTTATAATATTAATGTATTTTTATATTTGAGGGTCCGTGGCATTGAAAAGCCCTGCTGTACAGCAGCCATGACGCGCGCACCCTCAGCAGCATCTAGTGGCTGATGCGAGCATCACTCTCGGATGAGAGAGAGACAGAAAGGGAGAGATAGAGCAGCTGGAGCGCTTCACTATGGACCAGCACGGCCGCTGCGCACTCTGACCGATCGTCTTCACTCTCGTTTTGCTTGGACAACTCTCCAAACACACAGGTAGGCGAGCGCGACACTGTCCGGGTGCAGATCTCTAGCAGCATCACACATGTTCATGATGGCACAATGAGGAATAGCGCAGATCATCTTGGTTAGCATGGATACTAGTGCGTGGAGGCGCACCTTCCTCCAGAGCCTATGGTAAAAAAAAAAAAAAAAGAGTCTCCCCGTGGATATGATGAAGGCAGGGCAGGGGTGTGTGCAAATCAACAAAGCCGACAAAACACTCAATTAGAATGCGTAAAATGTGTGGACGGTCATTCAGGTGGATGGGAAGATTCGCGTGGAGTAGTATAGGGAGGTGAAGCGTTTGCAGACACATTTTACGGGTTGGATACAGTGCATCTAAGGGGATGTTGAACCTCTGTGTGTGCGCAGAAACGTTCTTGAGATTGTCATTTACGCAAAACGTAATGGTGAAACGACATTCCGATTCAGAGTATCGAGAAACCTGTAACAAAGGGCAGAGCGTTTGGTGCGCACCTGTTCTGAAAGGGTTAATGCTCGAGAGATGCTGAAGTAGGTTATTTGAGCTAGTCATCCAGAACATGCATAAAGTTATTAACGCAACCCTGTTTGGTTTATAAATAGAATGAAAGCTTAATGACAGAAACTGTTGAAATGAAGATATATGGGTCAATAGACACCAACAGATCTATCAAGTTAGTCTGAAATATATTCAAAATGCAATTCCTACAATGAATGGGATACACTTGTTTTAAGGTGAACAAATATCAGATTTTTGAATTTAAAATCTATTTAGAATTTCAAAACAAAGTAGTTTGCCCTGTTATTATTATTAATATTATTTACTAAAAAAGTCACACAATGAATAAAATTAAATGGCTTTAAAATATTAATATTTTATTTGTTAAAAAAAACTTTTGTGGCATATTTAGACAAGTTGTGACCATTTTCACATATAATTATTATTTGAAAACAATTTTCTTTGTTTTTTTATCATACCTATTTGCCATTGACCCATATATCAACAAAAGCATATATTCATTTTTGTCTTGGATTTTGTGCAATTATAATTATGAAATCGTTTCCTTAAGTTATTGTTGAAGTCTTGTAGTAAGGTTTAGGATCTCGGTTACCTATTTAGCTGTTTATTTGTGTAGTTCATAAATTGTTTTCTAATGAATATTTGCATGGACACATAGAAAGATACAGTTCTTTCATGTCTTGACTGATAACAGTGCATGTTGTAACAAGGACAGCCTACCATTAAAAAGCATATTATAGACTGGCCTTAGAATGGCCTAAGAGAATAGCCTTGTAGTAGAGAAACAGTTCAAACTTTTGGTTAAAATGTACCACAACCCTAAACCAATGCACTTGCAAACAAAACATAAAAACTCTTATTTTATCTTTGCATTTCTCCTAATATTGCTTTTTTAATAAACTTGTCATTATATGCTGAAGATATACTGGCTCTATGATGAATTGCTTATGCCCCTGTATTGTAAGCTGCTTTGGATAAAAGTGTGTGCTAATGTAAACGTGAATGTACCTTCAACAAGGTGTGTCAAAACCATTGTTATAGGCAAAACAAGCATTTGTGCAGTTTGATTCATGTTAGAGATATGAGATAGCCCTGGTCTCTTCCCCTACATCTTTAGATCTACATGAACTTTATGGTGATCAAATGTGATTCTCTGATGATGATGAGAAAAAAAAAGAATGACATTGTGGAGTTTGTTTGTATAGCAGGGCAAGAAAATGCATTTTTATGATTTTTATGTCTTTGGATTCTTAATGCCACAACCCTAATATTTTACAATTCAAATTTGAGTTAACCAAATTACACCTGTCCTCATCTTCTGCATGTTTTGGACTATACAGTACTTCCCTCAAACAGAACTAAGGTTAGCAGTGTAGCTGAAGCATGTTGGCGACTTCAAGTGTTTCTTCCAGTCTTCATGTAAGTATTAGATCTTTGCAGGTGTGCCCTCTTTATTGTTTCTTATGCCCACGCACGTATCCAAATATAGATCCATATATCAACGGATAGGACTTTGTGGATCATGCTAAGCAGGCTGAAAATTATAGATACTTCCAGAAGAGGTGGAGCCTGGCAGAGGCTTTGTAAATGTCTACATCTGTGCTGCTCTAGCATTATAGATTCCTAAGCTGCAGTATGTACACCAGAGATTCTCAAGTGGTGGGTTGCGACACAAAAATGGGTCACAGATCTTTTCTGATATGGTGGTTAAAGGAATAGTTCACCCGAAATTTGCTGAAAATGTACTATTTTCAAAATGATGAGTTTTGGAGAAATGTAGCATTACATCACTTGCTCACAAATGGATCCTCTGAAAGAGAGTCCAAACATTATGGTAACACTTTAGTATAGGGACCAATTCTCACTGTTAACTAGTTGCTTATTAGCATGCCAATTATTAACATATTGGCTGTTTATTAAAGCACATATTCTGCATGACCATATTCTACATCCCTAATCCTACCCAATACCTAAACTTAACAACTACCTTAATAACTAATTATAATCAGCAAATTAGGAGTTTATTGAGGGAAAAGTCATGGTTAATGGACCTTAAAATAAAGTGTGACATTTATTACTGTGGCTTTTGACTCTGATGGCACCCATTCACTTTCATTGGTAAGCAAGTAATGTAATGCTAAATTTCTCCAAATCTGTTTCAAACCAACCCGATCTCATGAAAGTGCGTATAAATAGTACACCAAATAAAAACAAAAACTCGTGGTATTGATACGCAAAAATGGACTTTGGCGTGTATATGCTACGCGATGGGTAGGTTTAGGGTTGCGGGGTAGATGCATATCATATGTACGCGAAAACTGCGTATCATATGCACGGCAACAAATTTCGTATCATGTGCACGTGAAAACTGCGTATCATATGCACGCCAAAGTCGATTTTTGCGTATCAATACCACGAGTTTTCATTTTTATTTGGCGTACTATTTATACGCATTTTCATGAGACCGGGCTCTTCAAACTAATCTACATCTTGGATGGGCTGAGAGTGAGTGCATATTCAGCAAATGTTTATTTTTGGGTGAATATTCGTTTAATGGCAGGGGAAAAAACAAGGCCAAAAGCTTGATAGACCAGCTAATAAATAGGATTATCAACTTGTAAATGAGAAGAGAAAACCCATATTTGTTGTTGTCGAGGACAATATTGGAGGACATATCAGCCTATGTCATGTTAATATAGTACAGTTCATGACAATATTAATGTTTTTTTTAAGTTCATATTGATTGACACTACTTGATGTTGAATGTAAAAAAAATCTGGGTCCTGAAGCAAAACCAGTTGAGAACCACTGCTGTAGCCATTTGAACCTTATAGTCGATAGATTTAATAACCACTAATTGATAAATGTGACTTAGTCAGACAGTAATCATAAAGAAAAAACGGAGAATGCTTTGTTTTGCAAATCTGTAAGATCTGAGAAGTCGACTGGTGTTGTCTTGAGTCATCGGTGCATCATAGAACTAACTGTCTACTTCTAACACTAGCTGGAGACGACCACACATATTTATACTGTCCGGATTGCACTGAAACATCTTCAGCATCTTCTGCTGGAGACCTTTAAATGATCAAAGCTTTGGTTGTAATTAGGTCTCATCTGTTACATGGATAAATGTTCCTCGGCTTGAAGTAGGCCAGGAATACCTGCAGATGTATTTGCTTTCAAACAAGCACAATGCAGTAATAAGGAATTATAAGAAGTAGTAAAGGTTTAAAAAGCTTAAATACAATGCAGGAAACTTACTAATTCTGTGACTATCAGTTGGGCTGACGTATACACTGAACTGTGTGACGGTTAGAAATGTGTTGATTTTGCTATACATATTATACTGCAGTAAATATGTTTGTGAAGCATTTAGCAGGACTGATTTATATTAACGATTCATATTATTTACACGTGAAAGTAACAAAGAAATTCGAAAGCAAATTAAAATACAGAGCAGGATGTGCCACAAAAGTTGTGTGCCAAATGCCTTGGTTGAAATGAAGAGTTTATTTTAGTGCTGTCAAACGATTAATTGCGATTAATCGCATCCAAAATAAACGTTTTTGTTTACATAATATATATGAGTGTGCTGTGTATACAGTATTTATGTATATGTAAATACAAACACATGTATGTATATTTAAGAAAAATGTTATGTATATATAAAAACAGGCAGATACACAGCCGAACATGAGTATTTGTGTATATTGTGCTGTTAATGGTGGATCAGTTGCACTGACAGTACTTACAGAAACATTTACAGTGCATTGTGTCTGTTTTAGCTCAATCACATTACACACAAAACGCTTATCTGAAGTAGTTTCCCGGCAGGCATTCTTTGTGGTTTGAGCTGTTGTTCGGCCTAATGTTTCTCTTTCTTCAGCTGTCAGCAGTGTGTTTACATCTGTAGAGACGGGGATGTAAACAGTGTTCCCTTGGCTTCTTATTTGTTTGTTCATCCTGATGCTTAATTAGTTAATTGTTATATTGAGACAACAAACTGAAGTATATCTGCTGGAGTGTTCTTTCTGAATTAACATGCAATACGTTTTCAGTTAACAGTGTCAAAGCAATTTCTTAACATTTAATTACCCCCTAAATCATGTCAAACAAACAAAAAGCAAGCAAACACAAACTAGAATAATTGTACTAGAATAATTGTTTGTATTGTTATTCAGCAGAGGCCAAGTCTGCAGGAATGAGACTTAAAGGAATAGTTCACCCAAAAATGAAAATTCTGCCATTATATATCATGTTGTTCAAACACTTTTTGCTTTTCTGAATATATATATATCTCAAAATTCAGATTTTTTTTTTCTCGAAATTCCGAGTTTGCATCTCTCACTTCTGACTTTTAATTTTCTCGGAATTTAAAATGTACATTTTGCTATTCTGTTTTTTTTTTTCTACCATGGAATAAAAGATAAGGTAATTGCGACTTTTTTTTCAGAATTCTGTCCTTTTTTATAATTCATATATTTTTATATTT